TATTTTTAGGGCCCGGTTACTTCTGTAGATACTCAAAATATCTTCCTCTGACACTTGAGTATTGAAAACATGAAGGTTTTGATGTTTTGTTCTGTTCAGGTGTTGGCATAAAAGAGAAGTCGTACAAAACAGTGTTTGTGGAATGCAAACACAGTGTTCTTTCCAAATCTATGTTCTGTCAGAAAACACCCCTAGAAACTGGGAAGCCACAACCTATGTCCAGGCAAAGAAGACTCAGATTCAGTATTCTGGCAGAAACAGCCCTGTTGCCAGAGAGGAACTGCCATTTTCCCTTAGCCCTAGACACAGGGTTTATTCACCATTAAAATCCTGATGTAGCCCTCATGGTGACAGAACTGTCAACGCTGAAACAAGGGGATCTCACACTTCTTATACAGCTGTAATTAGATTACCAAACTGTAATTAAGTACAAAGAAAAGGTGACCTTTCTCCTTGAAATGAGTAACACTAATTGTATGAAGAATATTATGAATCAAAGGAGCCTACATGGAGCTGAAGGCAATGCGACTCTGCTTTCTTTCCTAGTCAGCAGGGTGGAGTTAACAAAATCTGCACACATGGGAATACAGCTCTGTCCACTGTGTGCTCATGTGCCATTCCCATTACGTGTGCTGCTTTGGTGAGCAGGTGCACTGTGCAACCCATCAGCCTGTGAGGGCGATGCTGAGATCTCAGCGAACAGTCAGAAGCCCTGTGCTAAGACCCAGAGATAACTGAGAGTGTTGACAAAGTAGCTCACACATGCAACAAAGTAGTCAGATGTGCAACAGTCCTCTCACCTCGGAGTTCCTATGTTTTATAGCAAATAGCCCAAACAGACATGGTCATCTTCTCTAAGTGGGACTGGCAATTCTCCAGAAGATCCAGTGAGATCTTCAGGTCTAGCTACAGGGACCTGTGAACTATTTCCTTGTACAAACACCAGAACACTGGCTATGACACACGATAGGAGATTTCTGTCCCATCTCCCCAGAATCTTTTGTTTTAAGTTAATAAAAAGGAACAGTGCTTAGAAAATTAAGATTGGAGAAAAGCAAACTGGAACAGCAAACCTTGGCAGGGTAGTATTATTATTAACTTGGGTTGACAGTTTGATTAGTTTTTAAAAAATGCCTAAGACCTGGTGAAGCTCACTTTGAATGTATTTGTGAGAACATTTCCTGAGAGAAATACATGAGAGGGATAACCTCCATGAATATGGGTTGTGCCATCCTATGACATGGGATCTCAGACCAAAAACCAAAGAACAAAGAAGAAAGTCAACAAGACACCCACATTTTGTTTCTCTTCTTTCTGATTGGATCTATTGTGAGCAAGCTATGTTCACTCCACAGCCAACAATCTTCTTGACTCAACATTTCCCCATCGGGATCAACTGCATCTCTCTAACCCATGAGCGCGTGAAAAGCCTTCCCCTTGAGTTGCTAAAGGAATGCCTTTTCCCCCCAGTTGCTTCTTGTCAGGCATGGGGCAGTAGCACATGCTTGTTCCCTCCTTCCTTTCAATACACACACCTACCCCTTTGTCCCCAGTCAGTTCTCAGTTCTCAGTGAGGGATCATCCCCACTCTGCTTTAACCATTTATACATTTAGACAAAACAGTTCAGGGCCTGGGTTCTACTTTAATTCTTCATGCCTTCACAGAAGCATGATTTTGCTTTCAATTAATATCCTTTTCGAAAACACAGCACCCCCCCCCAAATCAAACCTCTAGGACTTTGGGTCAGGATGAGGCATCTGGTACCCACTTAGGAGTCAGCACAAAAGCACAATGTAAGGATGTACCACTACAAGAGGCTCAGACACAAGTTTGTATAAAGATGGGGACAGAATAAGTGATGGAGGTATATCTTGCTTTTCTTTCTGTTGTTATGGCAAACATCATGACCAAAAGATAATTTAAGTAAGGAAAAGGTTGTTTTATTATCTTTAACTCATGGGTCATGGTCTACTGTTGAAAGAAGTCAGAGTAGAAACTACTAAGGAATGCTTTCTGCATTATTCTCTCACTTGCTCCATCTCTTGTTCTGGTAGTTCCCTTCTATAGCCCAAGGCCTTCTACCAAAGGAATGTTATCACCCATAGTGGATGTCCTACAACCCTTATCAAGCAAGAAAATTCCTCTCATAAACCCACATACCAATCTAATACAGACAATTACACTATTGGGACTCTTTTTCAGCTGATTCCAGGCTGTGTCAAAGTGACATGCAAAGCTAACCAGGACAATGAGAGAAACTGAAAATAAATTGGAATTCGATATTTGAGACGTGGGTATTGACTATGTGAACATGCTTGTAAATAAAGCTCCGCTTAGTAAGAAAAGTATACTAATAGCTATTATCTTTAAGAATTAGATGTTAAATGGTTTAATTAGGAAATTAAGTAAGTATTGATACAATTAATTTTACTTATTCATGGCTAAAGGTGTTTGCACCACACTTACTGGCAAGAAATTTAAATAGCTCCTAAACGTGTAAGAGAAGGGCGATTCTTATTGTCCTTAGGTTTGCTCCTATACAAACAGTCATTTCCTACAAGTGATGTCACTTAAAATAAAATTGGACATCTGTTTATCCCAACTCAATAATAACCATTTGTTGAGAATTTGAGTTTGACAAAGCATACTTCTGAGTATTGGTACACTATGCTTCATTTAATGAACAAAATCCATAATTATTTAGATATTACTATGATCGTGTAAGGACAAGGGAAGTTTAATCTGCTGCTTAGCTTCTCACAAGCTAGAAAGCCTTCCAAGCACAACCATCCAGCCAAGAATCAACATAACTATCATCAACTTGCTCAGCCTTGCCAGCTCCAGTTAATCTGATTTTTGGCCTTAGATAGTTAAACTATATTCATATTTTAGTATCATGGGAACAGACCAGTTTAACTCTCACCCTGGTAAAGACCAGGCCAGCTGGTAATGTTCTTTCAACAGTATAGACAACCAAAAAGCATGTTAGGGGAAGACAGATGGCACAAACTCTGTGTTGCCATGACACTGTTTAGCTCATTTTTAGAAAACAAAGTGGTGGGTGGCCTAGACGATCCTTTGTCCAGGAAACCACTGGAGCCATAGACCTCACATGTTAGCCTTAGAGACCAAGCCCAACCACGAGGCATAGCTCAGTCGTGGGAAGTGATGCGGTCTCATAGACCAGAAGCCACAGCTAGCAAAATCCAAAGACACATTAACACACACACACACACACACACACACACACACACACAATTAAACCCACATTAAGACAGAGCTGAAGATCTGCTGGGATGAAGAAGGAGGAACCAGAATGGTTTGGCTATAGTCCCTAGTTCCTAGTTCCAAGTTTCTCTCTCTCTCTCTCTCTCTCTCTCTCTCTCTCTCTCTCTCTCTCTCTCTCTCTCTCTTTCTCTCTCTCTCTCTTTCTCTCTCTCTCTCGTTCTCTCTCTCCCCTCCCTCTTTTGAGATTTCAAGAAAAACTGGGATTCATCCATGCTTGACATCTGGAAAACATTCACAGAGTTTTCCAGATGTGCATCCCTTTTGGCCACAAGGTGATGGTGCTTGCTTTAGAGAGAGCCGATGAGCATCATTACTCTGTAGGTGAGCACATTATTTCTTTTATAAGTCTATTGGTTCCTGCTGGACAGTCTCCTCTCCAGAGCTTGCCAAGCAGTCTGTGCTCCCTCTATGCTGGCTCTGTCTGTACTAAGCTATATACTGCTTTGGCAGAACATACTGAATTTTATCTCACGACTTGGACAGCAAGCCTGGAGTTTTGCTCTCTATTGGACATATTGGTATAATTTATAGAACAAAGGCAAGATGAACTTAGAAAGGCCCTAAGATGTATAAATAAGGGAAACTAGAAGGACTTGAAAAATACAACCCCAACTTCTATGGTGTTAAGACATACGTGTGTGAATGTGTGTGTGTGTGTGTGTGTGTGTGTGAGTGTGTGTGTGTGTGTGCACATTTAATCTCCTGGTCTTTGTTATGGCTGCTTTATGTAAATAAACTATCTGAAAGGGCTAAAATTCTATAATGAAGATAATGTTCACAATGGTCTTTTTTACATTTTTCTGTCACTAACAGTTTCTGCCCCTGACAAAGTACTGTTAAGTAATCAAAAAAGAAACCAGGGTACCTGTCACACAACACAACTCCCTCTCTAGGGCTCTGGCCTCGTTATCATAATCTAATGAGTGTGGTGCTGTTGAAATACTCTCTATTTCTGTCTCTCTGCCTCATCTCTCTCTGAGTGTCTGTGTGTCTGTATATGTCTGTGTGTGTGTGTGTGTGTGTGTGTGTGCCTGTGTGTATGAATCTTTCCCTCCTTTCCCCTTCTATAGAGCTATAAAGACTACACAATAAAACAAAGATCAAAGGAATCCTTTGCTGCAGTGCAGGTCCTTCTGTGATACACCACTCTTCCCATGGGGCTCGAGGAAAGGAACCACAACTGGGAAATCCAGCAAGTGGAAAGTACTTGGAATGTTTTGGAAGACATTTTTTTTCTCCAGTAAAGAATAGAATGGTAAATGATCTTTAACATGGAATCTGCCCATGCACCATCTTTCCTCAATAGGTTTTACAAATGCATTTCACTGGGCCTGCACTTGATCATGATAGTTCAAAATGTCCCCAGAGCCTATCACACTGTATCCAGGAGTAGGGAGAACACAACGAGAGTGTGGACCATCAAAGCTTGTCTTCATAAGTCAGGCTTAATTATAAAGAGTTCTTAGATTCTTTATGAAGTAGAAGTCCTCTTGCACACAAATCTGTTTCTGGCTGTGTCCATGCCTATCTCTAGCTGCCTGTGGCATGTGCTTCTGTGCCTTTTCCAGTGGTCTCTCTGCTTCTGGAGGAAGTATCTGTCTGAATGAGTTCTAATCTATGAGCAAAGTTCCACCCCAGAGCCGCTATGCATCCCAAAAGCTTGCACTTGGAGAATAGAAACATTGAGCCTCAGGTGACTGAGAACACTTACTGTTGGTTGCATAATGTATGGCAGGTGTGGCGTCCATGACGTGCTCTGGACCTACGCATCAAACAGCAGTCATTAGGACAAAGAAATCACACAGGGAACTCGGTGCTGGTGTTTGGTGGCGCTGCACTAGGTCTTAGGAAGTGGAGGCAGGAACTCTTGCAGCCCTGATTAGTTTAGCATTTCCCCATCTAAGTGGCTGGCTGCGACACCCAAATAGGCCAGTCTCTATGTGTGTGTGTTTGTGTGTGTGTATGTGTGTGCCTGTGTGTGTGTGTGTGTTCATTTGTAAGTATGCATGTAAGTCAGTATCAGGTGTCATTCATAAGGCAAATTTTATCTTTTCTTTCATTTTCTCTTTTTATTTCCTTTTTTTATTTTGAGACAGGGTCTCTCACTAGCTTGGAACACAACAAGTACACTAAGCTGACTGGCCAGCAAGCCCCAGATCTGCTCGACTCCACATTTCTAGCTGGGATTACAAATCTGTACCACTGCACCTGTTTTTCTGTGGGTTTGGGAGATTGCAAGCATTTTGATGACTGAGCCACTTCCCCAGCTCTCACGGCTGAACCCTAAAACCTTATTTTGAAGTTGAAGACTGAAGCCTTAAAGAGGCACAGAGACTATTTGTAGGTCATCTCCCAGGAACACCCAGGGAGAAACTGAAATAATCTGAGGTTGACTGCTAAGACTTCCTAATTGTTCCATTACCAATCAGAGCTTTACATGCGCAGGTGATCCCATCTTAGAACCGGCTAAGCAGCAAAATTAGTGCCAGAAAGAAACAGAACAGAAAGTGTGGAGGAATGTGTTAGGTCAAGGCCATCTTAAACATGTTTGCAATATTATTCTCTCCCATGACAACTGGTACTGTGGGTAAAAATGTATAGGATAGTCACTAACTCTTCTAAAATGTGCCATGTGACAGCCGTATGAGAAAATTTGTGTGAGTGGATCATCACATAGAAAGCCAGTGAGATTTTATTTTATGGTATATTATATTTTCACTCCAAAATTCACCATTATACTTCAGTTGCTTTGTTTTGTTTTTAAATGGTGCAAAGTAAGAATTAACAACATGGAAAATTGCTGTAATCTTTGAAAGAAGATAATCATTTTTCTGTGGATATTCATGTTGTCTAAGTATTCCATGCTGTGACTCAGTGGGTGGTCTTGGCTCCAGCAGGAGCCAAGATTAGACAAAAGACAACACAGACACACACACACATACACACACCATGCCTGAAGGAAGAATAAAACTGAAACACACCTGCACAAGGCCTCATGGGTCCCAAGAGAAGGCAATTAAGAAGTCAGCTACTCTGGAAACACCTCATGCAATTTAAACAAAACTCTACCCTGTCAGTGTAAAGATCTTGTTTCAAGAGTCTGAGTGTCATAAAGGAATGGTGTGCTTCTGGGGGATTCAGTGGTTAAGGGAAAAATGTGTATAAACTTAAATTTTGATGCTCTGACAGATAGGACATCCTGGAAAGTAGAGTGGCTGAGCTGGGGAAACGCCACTGGATTAGTGGGAGTAAGTAACGCTGGCTTCTTACCTTCTCTGAAACATCCACCCACAACAATTTTGCATTCTACAAAGAAATCATGGGCTCACACCTGTGTGCTTTCCAAGTCCCTCCCTATGTGGCATTTACAGGCATTTTATGATGAGAACTGGAAGCGTGGTTAGCAGCAGCAGGTGAAGAGAACGGAGTGGTGATTGGCGTAGCTGGTAGGGAGCTCACAAGAGCAAGATGAAGAGCAAGTTTTGCGGAAGCATGGCTACTTCCATCCGCCTTTGGACACAGAACTACTGGCTAGAACACCTAGTTTAGAACTCACAGTGAGTTTCAGATGCCCAAACATTTCAACACATGGGACCCCAAAGTCCGATCTTTTTAAGAATAAGAAATTAGGTAAAGAGCAGGAAGAAGAAACATGTTTTACCCACTTTCATGATCTTCCCCACTGAAAGGTCCCATTTAATACCTAATGGGGTACTTTTACCAAGACTACTGTGACAAAACAGTGAGATGACAAGGTAGGCTACCCTGGAACACAATACAGGTAGGGATCTCTACAAAGATGCTTATTAGAGAAGACCCCTGTGGAATTCGAGCAACCAAACCAGCAGATAACAGGCAGGACCATTCCTTAGCATTGAAAAGGCTATATAGAAAAGATGCAAGGCTTACCAGATCTGATTACTTGGGAAGCCAATACTAAATCAATTCCTAACAGGAACGTTATCATATTAAGGTATATGGCTACTGTGTAGGCCACCATTTTTTAAAAATCCTACCATGCCCTTTTGGAGTCTCAGTAGCACAGGAAGTAGGCAAGGAAGACCTTGCCTAAGGTGCAGGTGAACAGACGTACCTGGTATGTGGAGACAGGGGAGGCAGCAATGAATGGCGTGATAGATGTCTGTGGGATCATGCGGTTGGTTGCAAGACTGTACGGTGAAGAATAAAATCTGTGAACAGAAAACAACAACAAGAGATTCATGAAGCTGCTGCATGCCCGGCTTGTAATCCAGCCCTGCCAAGCACATCAAGAAAGAGGATTCCCTATGAGTGCTTTTCCAGAGAACTATTCACAGAATCATCTGGAAGGGTTATATATCTGATTCCTCTAAGAGGGACAAATCAGGTGAATACAGAGACGACTTAAGTCATCCTAAAAAGTCATCTTAAAAAATCAACTGTGGACATACAGTGTTGGTAACTAACAGGTAGAGGGCGATATCAAGCCTTACAAATGGTGGTAGTGTACAAAAGTCCTCCAAAAAGAGTCCTCCAAAAGAAAAAGACACCAGGCTTTGCAAGAATGGCTGGTAAGAGCCCACATCGAGTGCATCTGTTCAGGAAATAATTCATTCCTAGAAAGGTCTAGATCAGTGGTTTTCTGCTTGCTGGTTTGTGACCCCTCTCAGGGTTGAATAACCCTTTCACAGAGGTTGCATATCATATATTGTACATATCAGATATTTTCATTACAACTCATAACAGTAGCGAAATTACAGTTATGAAGTAGCAATGAAAGTAATTGTATAGTTGGGGGTTACCACAGCATGAGGAAATGTATTAAAGGGTCACACATAGCATTAGGAAGGTCGAAACCCACTGTTCTAGTCATTTTGTGTTAGTATCCATGCCTCCTTCAGAGGATAATGTTTTCCCCGTGGAAAGTGAAGAAACAGGATGACTTGAGTCTGGATTGGAATAAGAAAGTCTGGATTCAATCAAGAAAGTGGGGTAGGTAACAGGATTATTGGGACATGCTCCAAGAGACTGTGGGTAGCACTTACTTTCCTTAACCTTCTGGAACACCCACTGAACACTTATAAAATAATACTGGGTGAAATTAGGAATTCACAAATCTGAAGGAAGAACCTTCTCTTCCATAAAAGAGAGACACCTAGATAATAAAACCCGAGGCATACTCATCAACACATAGGAGAGGCCTTAGTGTCTACCAGGTGTCTACTGACCTAATTCTTCAGTGAGATTTTAAACAGCTTTCTCCACAAAGCTTCATTTACATGAAAGACCAAAGTAGCCATGGAACAAATAAGATGAGGTCACCAGAGAAAGACTAGGCACTCATGTTCTTATCTATTGGGATAAAGCAAGGACTGTTTTACTTTGCTAAATCCATAGCAAGGGTCAGTAATGATGCTCCTTTTGTAAGTAGCAAGACAAAATATTAATTAACTCCCAGAATCCACTGACACTTTGAAGACACAAGGGTTTATCTAAAAGGAGGGATTTCATGGTACTTCTGCTGGATAGAGAAAACCTAAGATTTGAGGTTGCCGGCACTCAAGTTGTGAATGGTTCAAAGCAAGGATTAGTGACTTGCATGTTTTTATTATAAAACTACTTAAGTTAAACTTATTTTCTTCAGGTTTTATCCAGAATTTTAAAAGTATATATTTCTTTATGTTTCGTTATGTGAATATGTGGGTGTGGGTCTGTGCACTTGTGAGTGCAGTGCCAGAAGAGGGCGTTGGATCTCTTGGAATTGGAGTTACAGATGTTTGCAAGTCTTCCAGTGTGTGTGCTGGGAACCAAACTCAGGTCCTCTGTAAGAGTGGTGAGCTTTCTTCACTGCTAAACCATCTTTCCAATCCCTACCGAGGATTTTTAAGGCCATATCCTTTGGATTAAAAAAAATGTGTAGATAGGGAAAACAAAAAACAAAACCAGCTAGTTCATTCTATGACATGTCTTTCCTACACCTGCTCACTGGCTCTTCTTGCTAAGACTGATGATTTTAAAGGGACACTAGGTACACACCCAGTCGGACAGAAACACACACACACACAGACACACACGCACACACAAGTTCTGACGAGAACCAAGAGAAAGTGAAATTCTCCCGATGGAGGGAATTCAAAACGCTATGACTATCTAGCATAAAAGCTTAGCGGTTCTTACGAGCACAGAAACAGACACACCCTGTGACCCAGGACCCTGCACATCCTAAGCAAGAGAAATGAAAATTTGCTTATACAAAACCCTTAATGCAAATGTGGGCAGAACTTTTATTCATATTCACCTGAAACTGGTAGCAACCAGATGTACTTAAAATCTGTCCAATGACAGCAGTGTATCCATAAGGTGGAACACCATGAAGTAACAAGACAGAAAACACAGCCATGCTTATTGTCTGTGAAGGGTTGATTCCAGATCCTCCCCAGCCATGGATACCTGAACACAGAGATTCTCTGCTCTCTTGCATAAGACAGTGTAGTGTGTTCATACTGGATCTACTCCTGGTTTACCACATGTTAACTCTAGATTACATATAATCTTTAATACAAGTAACAATTCCTATAAGCAGTTAGAACTTATCTTCTGGGAGATAAAGGCAAGATTAAAGTGTCTGTATGTAGATGCATTTTTTTCAAATATCTTGTATTGTAGTTGATGGAACTTGTGAATGTGAAATCTAAGAACAAGGAGAGATAGCCATAACCAGTGGTAAAGTCAACAGGGTAGACCTCAAGGGAGCTATGCTAAATGAAAGAAGTCATAAGGCACTATGAAGTGCACATCCTGTTTATATCACAATATGGAAAAGGCAAAATCATAGAGGTGAGAGATGAGTCACAGGCTGGAATAGTCTAGCTAGGAGAGAAGGGGTTACTCCAGAGGGGTGTGAGGGGATTTAGGAGTGGGTGCAGCTCTTCAAACCCTGATTGCTGTGAACTCAGAACTGTGTGTGTCTGATGCAATCAAAAAGTTATACCTTAGAAAGGCAAATATACACACACATATATATGTATATGTGTGTATGTGTATATGTGTACATATGTATACACACATATGTATGTATATACATATGATTTAATCTATAGATGATACATATAGAAGTATGTATTTATATACTCAAATATACCAAATTATCTCTGCTCTGGATAATTGCTTTTGGAAATGGGGTCTCATGTAACCAAAAACTGACCATTGACCCATTAAGTAACTGAGGCTAGCCTTGAACTCCTGATCCTCCAGCCTGAGCCCCTGAGCCCTGGGATTGCAGGTGCATATCATCATGCCATATAGGAAATTGAGCTAAGATCTCAGTATGCAAAATAGACTGGCCTTAAACTCACGTGAATCTTCCTGCTTCAGCCTAACAAGTGCTAGGATGACAGAGATCCACCACACCCAGATCTAAACTGTCTCTTATAAAGATGATTGCTACCCACAAAATATCCATCTTTGTACTTGACAATTTTTTGTTTTACCTGCATGTGTATATGTGTCTGCCTGCTTGTCTGTATGCGCACCATGAGTATGTAAGTGCTCACAGAGGCCAGTAGAGGGCTTAGAAAGCTTTGGAACTGGAGTTAGAGGTGGTTGTAAAGCATATAACATGGGTGCTGAGAACCAAATCCAGGTCCTCTGCAAGAGCACCATGTGTTCCTGGCCATGGAGCTAGCTCTCTGGCTCTCTATTTTTTGCTTTAAATGGTTTACTGGACATTTCCTCTGTGTTCCTGTGTGTTTCAGAGTACTATCTGAAATACTCAGACTCCTCTATTTTGTCCCTCAGAGAATGTCTTACCTCTATGTTCATCTGCTTAACAGCCTTCAAGGGCTTCTCATTGCAACGAGGATAGAATTCAGTCACTAGACAATGAGTCTACAGCCAACCTCTCCAATGTCTGTTCAGACCCACTGCTCATACATCTGGGAATCTGGAACTTTCTCCTCCCCATGATCCTGTTGTCCCCTTTCCTACTGAGTAGCACAGTGTGGAATCTGTGTACACAGATGGCTTCCCAGCTTTTGTAGCCTCCCCTACCCCTTTGCCCTCTCATATGTGGATTCCTAAAGGCACTTGTGGATATATATATATATATATATATATATATATATATCTCCCTCTCCTTTATTATTTTTCTTTGCTCTATAACTGAAGCAGCAGCAGAGAGTTTCTCAAAAAGAAAAAAAATTCTCTGCTATAGAATGAATGTGTCTCTTGCCTCCGCAGCTCAGACATTGAAATCTTGACGTCTGGCACAACTGTATTGGAAGACTGGCCTCTGAAAAAGCAATTAAAGTGAGAGGGCACAACAAGGGTGGGGTCGTGGTGAGAGAGAATTTGTGACTTCAGTTAAAAACAGATACCTAAGAGCCCATTTTTCACCCTACACGTGCACTCGCGCGCGCGTGCGCGCGCGCACACACACACACACACACACACATGCCCGCACACAGGAAGGTCCACCAAGAATACACAGGATGTTAGCCATTGAAAAGCCAGGAAGGGGGCATCCTCACAGAAAACAAATTATATACTTGATTTTGAACTCTGAGTCTTTGGAGTTTGTGAGGAGATCAATTACAGTTAAGATAATGACTTGCCTATGGAAGCCTAAGCAGAAAAATACAGCATATTTCTGAACTATTTCTCTCTTTAGACTATTAGTTCAATGTGGATTCAGGCAACAATGACCTTGCTGTGTAGGAAGGAGCCTGGGGCATTGTAGTAATATAGTAATCGTCTATTGAGGAATAAATGCATGTAAAGTCAATGCTGGTGTTTGACCATTCACAATGGGTCCATGAAGCTCTTAGAAAGCTAGAAATGAGACTTCAGAGAACAAAAGCCCAAAGCCGAATCCTTGGTAAATGTTCAAGGGAAGTTAATGTCTGCTTTCCAAGAATGAAAGACATTTGTAACTAGGCATGGCAGTCCTTTGCTGTGGAAGGTCTGGTTAGCTTTTAATACTCCCTTTTAGGTCTTTGACAAATTTTGTTTATGAGGCAGTGGGCAGAGAGACCTTCCCTGGGCTGATAAGGACATGTCCAGGTACCCAGAGCCATTCAACCAAGTGTCTGTCTCATGCCCCATACAGTGACTTTGCACTAGTCCACTTTCACCCTCAAACTGACAGAAAAACCACATGCTGCATTTTAGCATGGAGAGTCTATTTTGTAAAATGTTCCAGCTGGAATATTAA